ACTATATTGGAGTGAAACCAGAGATCTACAGAAGAAACATGCTTGAATATAATAACTTTTTCCTTTCTATTTTCTATCTCTCCTATCAAGGTTTTTATGTAAGGGAAAACATACAGTGTTCCAGCCTGTGTGTACAATTTACTTCACTTAACATTCTGGTCTCAAGGTGCATCCACCTTCCTACAAATGCCTCAAGTTTATCTTAACCACAGAATAGTGCTTCACTGTATGTAGGTACCAAAGTTTCTTATCCATTCATCTGTTGATGGGCATAGAGATGCTTCCAAGATTTAGCTATTATGAATTGTACTGCTTTAAACATAGGTGTACACATCACTTTATTGTTTGACTTACTATTTTTTTACTTTCCAGAACCACAAAATACTCCAGACTTGTTGCATATTTCTTGTCTCTATTCCTAAATTCCTCCCAGGAGCTTCCTTCTATGGAAGAAATGCACCCTTCAAATGTTCACATGTTACGTTTTCATTTTTATTCAGGACTTTTTCAACATTTCCTTTCATACTTCTTTGACTCATGGATTATTTAGAAGCATGTTATTTAGTTCCATGTATGTGGTAATTTTCTTGTTTCCTTTCCCTTATTCATTTCTACCTTGCTTCTATTGAGATTGGAGAATATTCACTACATGATGATGATGATGATTTTTTTTACTTGTTTCTTTCTAATGAATTGGCCATTACATGTCTAAAGTTCTGAAATGGCCAACAGACCATAGAAAGACACCACTTTAGGCTCCTGCTTGAAGCCAACAGCTTCAGAAAGCTGCCGGCCTTGATTCAGGGCCACTACATGATTATTTTTTAAGATTTGTTTCATGCCTAAGAATATTGTCTATCTTGGTGTATGCTCCATGAGCACTTACATATAGCAGTGATGTTTGCACTGTTGAGTGAAGTGCTGGAGAATTGCTCATTAGATTCTGTAGGCTGGTGACTTTTAAGTCCTGTGTAGTTCCTGATTTTCTGCATAGCTCTCACCACCTATAATAACACATTTTGCAATTTCTCATTCCTCGTGTATTACTTTTACTTCATGTATGCTTTGCTGCTTCTGTTCGTTACATACACATTTACAATTAAGTTATGAGGTTCTGTTTATTTTTCTTGCAACCATTTTGTCTCTGAGGTTCAGTTTGCAATTCATATTGTTTGGTCAGATGATTTACTGATTTCCCTCCTTTCTTCCTCTGTTGCTGAGCCCAACCACTGAGCTTTTGAAAGAATATTGTATTCTCCATGTAAAATTCCTTTGGAATCTCCCTGCATCTTCTGTTTCTTTACTAAGACTTTTTATGTTTTCATTTGCTTCCAGAATGATTTCATCTTCTTGAAGCATTTTTTTCAAGGCTGCTATAAAGTCTTTTTCTCATGATTCTGACATTTGTAACCTTCGACCTTCTTTGCTGACATCCATGGATTACCTTTTTAAGCCCAATTTTAGAGTTTCCTAGTTCTTCTTTGATGAGTTATTTTCTGTTAAACTCTGGGCATTTGTAAGGGTTACATTTTATTTTGCCTTAGCTGATTCTATTCCAGCATGAGAAAAGGGCCCAGGGCCATTATTGCCTGCTGCAATCTACTAAATTTCTTAGCATCTGAGTGGGTGGGGCTGCTGGTTACATCTGCAAGAAGATGTGCATTCACAGTTTCATGTGCTGGCTCTTAGTCTTCCCTTTCAATAGCAGGCAATACTCAATTATACACTTTTGTCTGATCTTGCATAACTGTATCAGTTAATCTGAGCAACAAATTTTACAAAAATAGATAATATAATAACCATTGTTAATTAGCTATTCTTGCTTTGAAAATCTGTAACATAAGCATTATTGTATGTTACCCTGTTTCTGTTATTTCTGCTGATTGTTTTTGTTTTGGCTTTTTGTCTTCAAAATGAAATAAAATTACATTTAAAAGAAAGTCTTTCTCACTTACATGTCCTTCTTTTCAATGAAGGGAGAGTCTGGGGTTGCTGCCCAAAGAACTGGAAAGCTTTTAATTCCTACTGCTACTTGTTTTCTACTGACTTAAAATCCTGGGATGAAAGTGTGGAGAACTGCCGCAGAAGGGAGGCTCACCTGGTGGTGATCAACACCGAGGAGGAGCAGGTACAGTCAAAGACAAACGGGGTCGAAGCCCGGGCTGGTGTTTGCCATCTCTTTCTGCCAACAAGGAGGTGTTTAGTGTTTGGAATATCAGTGCTGTTACGAAGGCATTTAGTGAAATATACAGGAAAGTCCCCCTCAGCCTTTGTGTCCCTTACATTTCTCCTGCTTCAATAAAAGTAACATCACTCGTCCCCCAAATTGTGGGTCAAAATATAACAAATAAGGCCATAAATATGACAAATAGTAGTTGTGGAAAGAAAATATTATCCTGAAATATTTCAGTTTTGTAAGTTTTATAAATCTTGAACTGCTTCACAGAAAGAGGTCTTACATTGAATAGGGAAGTGAAGTTAAATCATGAAGAGCCACATACAACAATAAACAATGAAATCAAAGTATCTCTGATAGTATAAAAAGAAAATTATAATATCTGCAAAAACGTTGTCTTTTAAGAGTTTGAAGAACGCCATCTACTAGTGAACACAGGTAGTAAAATGAGTCTGAAATGTGAACTCGCTAAGATCGTGCAGCAATTGTCTGTAAGTTATGAAAAACAGGCAGATGAGTCGCATCTCTGACCCTTTTTCGCACTCTCAGAAGGCCCCACGTGGCTATTCCTGGATCTTTTCCTTTTCTCCCCACTGCTGAATGACCTCAGATAACTCAGTTGAAATATTACAATGTGCTCATGAATATGTATACCCAAATGATTTGGTCTTTGTACGTTGTACACATGTAACCAGTTACTACACTGTACCTAATAATTTTGTATAATTGAAATATTCATTTAAAATTTTAAAAACACAAAAAATTTTAAAAAGAACTCTTTGTATCTTACTATGCTACTGAATTTGTTTATTAATAATAGTAGCTTCCTGGTGGAATTTTTTTTTTTCAAAGTGTCTTCCTTGTAGAGAATCATGTCGCCTGCGAATAATGATAGTTTAACTTATTCGTTACCTGTTCTTATTCCTTTTATTTCTCTTACTTGTCTAATGGCTCTAGATAATTTTTCCAGTACTATATTAAGTAGGAGAAAATCTATTCCATATGTATTGTTGTATATTACTCTGTTTCTGTCTTTGTTTTTACTCTTTAAAATAAAATAAAAAATTTAAAAAAAGAACTCAGTACAACTCTATACTATGAAGGATATGATTCTTTTTCATTGTATTAGGATTTTATCATCCAGAATATAAAAGAAGACACTTATGTGGGGCTGTCAGATCCAGAAGGTCAGAAGCATTGGCAGTGGGTTGACCATACACCATACAATGAAAGTGCTGCGTGAGTACAGGGTTAGAGAGTGAACCCCTGAGTCCTGAACCTTAAAGGATATTTAGGGTTTTCCAGCTGTCAGTTATAGTACTAAAGGAGCTCACTCTTTATGAACTGTAGGGCATTGGATTAAAGTTTTCATCATTTTATTTAATCATCATTTGAAACCATTGAAATATGTTGTTAAGCTTCCCACTATAAGAGAGAGAAAACTGAGTTTGGAGAATGTAGATAATTATTCTACCTTAATATTTAATATTCAAGTAGTTCTTTAAAAAGTTTTGAAGTTTTATCACCAACCCTGACCATATTTACTGTGTGAATACATTGTGACACCACTTTATCCCTAATTTTATATGTGAAATTTGGAAATAAATAAATTTTTTGATTGAGATCACAGTGATAAATTTTTCAACTCATTCTTCATAAAGGATTCTTATTTTTATACTGTGTCTGGGCAGAGTGTGTCCAGCACACAAAATCCATGGGTTGGTGGCCCCATAGGAAGTGGGACTATGGGATTAGGTAGAGAAGATCCTCTGGGATTACGTTAGGGAGGGTAGTGAATGCAATACTCTGTGAGAATACTGTGTGACATGGGCACAGTTTGCAAGGGAAATGCCAGAGGTGTGGGTGAAGGGGAAACTGCATGAGAAGTCAGGAAGAGCTGAGCTGGGAATATTTAACCATGACCCCTAGAGTTCAACCAAGCCATCTTATTATCTCTAACTCTTTTCAAAACTTTGCCAGAAAAAATACATTCATCTTTCTTTTTCTCATTTTCAGATTCTGGCTTCCAGGTGAGCCCAATTATACTTATGAGCGATGTGTTGTGCTAACCCCTCAATATACTAGGTGGGGCTGGAATAATATCACTTGTTATTTTAAAAGAAGTTCAGTATGTGAGATGATGAAGATCTACTTATGAATCAAACATTCTGCAGGGACATGTGGTTGGGTTGGCATAGTGAGAGCTAATATATTTTGGTTTATTTGTTAGACGTGTCATAGAATTTTGGGTAATGTGTTCAAGGGCTGGGCTCTACTTGTGAGAAAATTGATGCACTTGTTTGTTTATTCATTTTCTCATCACAAAAAGAGTACTTATTGAACTATACCAGAGATCCATTCTGTGTCTATGTGAAGGCTTTGTTTCTAATATACTCAATTGAGAAGGATTATGTATTAATAAAAACATAAGATGTGATTCCTCTTCTTGGATGTGTTTCTTTCTATTTTTCTCACTTTGTCATTATTGAAGTGTAATTGACAAATAAAATTATACATATTTAAGTTACATTATAAAGTAATAATTTGATATACAAATGTACTGTGAAATAGTTACCACAATCAAGTTTGTTGAAACTTCTACTACTTAATATAGCATTTTTGTGTGGAATAATTTAAGATCTCCATAGGCAATTAAAATTACAATATTACATGATAGTCATGATGCTGTACATTACTTTCTTAGAACTTAATGATCTTTCAGTGAATGTTTATATTATTTAAATAATTCTCTTTTTTCCCCACACCCCTCAGCCTCTTTCAATTCTTGTACCTTTTATTTATTTATTTTTTGACTTTCAGTAGTTTTCATATAAATGGGATCATGGAGTATTTATCAGTCTAAGTTGACATATTTTACTTTATGAATCTATCCATGAATGAACAGATTTTTCCATGTGTTCACTGTTGTAAAAAAATACTGTAATCAACAGGAGTGTGCAGATGGGTCTACATAGTGTCTTTTTACTATTGTTGACATTTTCCAAGAAGTGGGATTGTTGGAGGATATGGTAACTCCATTTTTTTGAGACTCCTTTATATTCTTTTATATCATGGGTTTACCAGTTTACTCTCAAACTAACAGTGCACAAAGTTGCCTTTCATTTCCTGTGTTGTGAATCCTTAAGTCACTCATGTGCTGAAGATACCAGTCATCCTAGCAGACTAAAGGTGGTACTGCTTTGCATTTGCTATGCTTCAGGCCCAATGTCATTGTGTCTGGCAGGGGATCTTTGAGGAGGAGGGACCAGAAGTCTCCTATAATGACCCTTTTTGTGTGTCCTTTCTTTGTGTCCTTGTCCTTACTCCAGTGAAAAATGGAGAAGTGGGCTTTTTAGGAGAAAATGGGGAGGTTGAGATTGATATAACTAAAGCAAAAGTTCATTTAAAGTGTGGCAAATGCAGAAAAAGCAGAGCAAGAGCTATTTTAGTAGCAGAATAGTGCTGGTAGGTAGGAGGAAGCCTGCTCAGGATGTGTGAGTTATGTCCATACTTAGATGGACAAACTGTTTTGTTGATTGGTCTAAGTGAGGCCATTTACAATTTTTGATCCAGGTAGGATCTAGGATAATTAGTTTCTGGGAAGAAGACAAGATCAGCACACAGTAAAATCACAGCTTTATAAAGGATACAGTAGGGTACTTATTTCAAGCACTTGGTATAAAATAAGTATGTGATGATCTTATAATTGTCAGCACAGATAAGCATGTGATGACATTGCAATGTTAGTCATCCATGCTTTGCCTTGAGGTTTTCTATGACCCTCTCATCTGCCCCCACACTATTAATCCTTAGAGATGCCTGACATTTCTTGGTTTGCTGTTGATGAGAGTATTCAAAGGGTCAGGAAAATGAGAATGCCAGAGTGGACTTCTTATGTGTAGTGTACTCCTCCACACTGGGGTGGCATAGGAAATTTACCCTTTACTACAGCTTGGAGAAATGGATTCAGGAAGGAAGCACCAGTGTTCCTGAAGAGGCCTGTCTTAGTTTATTTTTTCTTGTTGCTGAGACAAAAATGCCTGACACCCCAAGATAAATGTGAATGTGGGAAGATTTATTTAGGTCACAGTTTGTGGAGGTTTCAGTCCATATTCTCCTTGTTTCAAGGCCTGGCGGCACATGACAGAGACATAATTCATGGCAGAAGAAGACAGCAAAAACAGCAAAACAGGGGCTGGTGAGATAGCTCAGTGGTCTAAAGCACCTGCTTAGGCAAGCTTAGGCAAGCATGTAGGGACCTCTGTTCAATCCCCAGCACCACATGCCATGCCAGCCCCACCCCTAGGGCGGACTGAGCTGACCATAAAAATAAGAAAAAAATAAATAAAGGAAACATTTAAAAAAAACCCAGTAAGAGAGAGATAGAGAGATAGAGACAGAGAGAGACAGAGACAGAGATGGAGACAGAAAGAGACAGAAAGAGACAGAGAGGGAGACAGAGAGAGACAGAGAGACACACAGAGAGAGACAGAGAGAGACAGA